CCTATCGAGCTTCGTTGTGAAGTTATACGCCTTCAAAGAAAGAAGTTTGAAAAACAAATTCTAATTATAACTTCTAAGTAGTTACCATGACAACAATAAAATTTGGGCAATTAAAGTAACTTATGGTACGGTTTATTTCCAAGTTTAAACTGATATTCAAAATGCCTGAATTATACAGGAGCAGACGAAATTATCCATATTAAATTTATACATCTTTGACAGCGTTGCACTTTGGCATTTTTTGGGATTTCATAGTTCGATTCCTCTCTCACTTTTCTAAAAAAGGTATACTGTATATCAGTCGATATCTTGTACCGTTTTTGAGAAAATCGAATTTTATTAACAACACAATCATGTATTCCTATATCAAAAATGCGATGTTAACATTTCTGTAAAAAATCTTTGTTTCTTGGAAATTAAATATATATATNTTATATATATAGATATATATAATAATTATACATATATAATTAGTAGTTAGATATTTGTCATAAATCATTTTGACACCATTTGTTGATTCAATATCATGCAGGATTTTAGGTATGAAGAATTTGCAGATATTCATTTAATGTACGAATTTGTAGAACCAACCGCTTTCCAAATAGAATTTGCATATTTGGAGTGACGAAAACCACCATAATATTATTCAAACAAGACACCAACGAAAATTTATCATTAATGTATGGATGGGTATAATTGGGAACTATTTGTTCGTTTACTGCAAGAACACCTTAACCCGTTATTGGAAGACGTCCCTTTAAATATTCGAAATAACATGTGGCCTATGCCCGATTGTGCATCACCCCATTTTAGCAGGGCAGTAAGGGCTTATTTAACTACCAATTTCCCGGTCGATGGATCGGTCGAGGTAGTCCTTTTCCGTTGCCGCCTCGGTCTTCCGATCTTAATCCTCTCGATTTTTTTTCTTTGGAGTCATCTTAAAAGTTTTATTTATCAAACTCCTATAAATAGTAGGGAATAATTATTTAATCGCATAATTACATAATACCAAAATCATTAGAAATGATAGATGATAGAAATAGCATGTGGTATGTTTTTTCGAGTACGGCAGAGATGTTTGGGCAATTTCAAAAAATTCATTGAAGTTCAAGGTGCGAGTTTCCTTTTTTCTTTTAATTCTTTAGACCAAAATTTTTACAATTTTGATACAATAAATGTATGTTGTTAATAAAATTCGATTTTCTCAAAAACGGTACAAGATATCGACTGATATACGGTATACCTTTTTTTTTATCAAAGTAAGTGAGGAATTAAAGTATAAAAGAAAAATGTTTAAGGTTATCTGAAAAGTAAAGTTTATTCTGCTCCAACAGATAGATACAAGACCACAACTACTGCAACGAATAGAAGGCGGGTGTAATGATGGTAGAGTATTAGGCCTCCAGGGAAAACTAAAACACGCCAGGAACTCTACCTCACAGGTGGTGTAGAAAAGAGTGTAAATAATTTTGTTGATGTGCACTTACTTTTAAGCATAAACATAAATATTCTTGTTATATTATGGTTAGAAGTGTCTGCCACAAGGGGATTGCATTGGTATGAATAACTTGAGAACGGCGAATCTTAGAAAAAAATCAATTTACCTTTTTTACGTATTTTATGCATTAGAATATGTTAAAATGACTTGTAAAAAATGCAGTGGCGTAGTTTCTTTTTGTAAAAATAGGGGTGACCCTTGTCCAATTGTACAACACTGGTTGAACCTTCAAAGCTCATATTTTAGGGAATGTAAGGCCTACTATCATACATTATCAGCACAAAATTTTATTGAGATTGGTTAATAGATTCCGGAGATATAAACAAAAAATATTTTTTTTAACAACTTTAACACCCTCTCTCTATCTCTATCTCTAAAACGGGGCTATTCCAGACCAATGTTTATAAGACAAACACATATTATTTTAAAGGGCTCTGCCCTCGAAGTTGCCTGCATAAAATTCGGACTACCCTGTATATGTAACAAAAATAATCAACATCTTGAAACTCCTCAAGATGTTCCCAGTTGCACTCTCTCAAGTTCAAAAAGTAAAGTAACAGTTGATTATTTAAAATTGTATTCATTCTCAAGTAAATATTCATTATCTAGAGTTGCGAAGCTGAAAAGGAAATGTTTGAACATCAATCTCTGCCATTAATGCTGGGTGCTTTTTATCATCTTAATAAGTGGATTTAATTCTTTCTTAACTTTTGCAAAGATTAAATTTAAAGCTCTTAAATCTTCATTGAAATAGTTATTACATGACCTTAGATCATAAAAATGTATTAATTCCAATATTTTAGTTTTATTGCTAAGCTGAAAATATATGTCATTTACGCAAGGGAATATCATTGTCAATTAATGTAAACAAGTCAACATAATTTCTATACAGTTGAACATTTGATTGTTGTCTAAAGTATATAATTTTTAATAACTTAGTTTCATTAAATTTTTTTTAAACTGCCACCAAAACTCCCCCCTCCCTATCTACCGTTTAAAACTGACGTACCCAGCGTTTAAAAAAAAAGTAAAAACAAGAAATACTACCTAACTCTGACGTGAATGCGAAAAATGAAAATGATCAATTAAATTGTTATCTAATAGACAATTTATTTTTCATTTTATGAAAAAAGTAATTCTCATCACAAAAATAACTGTGGCCAAATGAAAACGAAATTTAGCCTTTTTCAGGAACTGCGTCAAGATTGTAGAAAAACGCTCAGACCCTTCGATTTTAGATTAAAGGGGGACATCCTTTGCTGGTATTTTTGACTCCGCCACTTTCACCCCCAAGCAAGGGTAAGCATCACCCCAAAATATTTAAATGGCATTGGGGGTTGAGTAATATTTCTTTTGAAAGCTCTTAATTCTCTTTACAACAGACTTTAAATTTTATAATTCCGCCCAATACTTATTAAGAATTTTGATTTTAAAGTTGAAACTTATGTACAAACAATAATTAGTAACGGTAAAAATGTCAGTCATTCGAGTTAAGTACGCCAATGGTATAAATTTAGTATTTCTTGCGTTACATTGGTTTTTGGCGATTTGTTATCACTTTCGTAAAAAAAAAAAAATTGTAAAAAACAGAAATGAATGCTATACACACACAATGAACGTAAAATTAGTGGATTCCAAATTATTTTCTAGTATTATTTGGAAGCGTTGGTTGGTAGTTTATTTAATTGTGTTTTTGAAAATTAAACACTATGGTTTATTCCATTGCGGAAAGGGTAGATATCATTTCGCTTTACTTTATGAACAATAAATGTGCGAATAGAACAGCTCAGCTATTTAATGAACAACATCAAGATCGACATGTCAGGAGGAAGTATGTTCTAGAGTTAGTAAAAAAATTTCAAGAGACAGGGAACGTAGCCAATAAAAAACGAGAAATTGAAAAACCTATAGTTAATGAAGCTAGTGAAGTTGCAGTTTTGGGACAAGTTCATCTTGATCCTACATTAAGTACGAGGCAGCTGGCATCTGTGTCTGGGATCAATCGAACTAGCATACAAACCATTTTGAAGAAGAATAAATTCCATCCATACAAAATACATTTAGTCCAGGAACTTCATGAGGATGATTATGACCGCCGTTTGCAATTTTGCGAAATAATGAGTGAGCGAGCAGGGAACGATCCACAGTTCCTTTTTAACATCTGTTTTTCTGATGAATGCAGTTTTTTCTTGAACGGGACGGTAAATCGTCACAATTGCCGCTATTGGTCCGATTCAAACCCAAGAGTTTTTCACGAGGTGCATACACAGCAACCGGAAAAATTAAATGTATGGGCTGGAATTTTCGGTGACCGGCTGGTGGGTCCTTTTTTTCTACCTGGTAATTTGACTGGCCAAATGTATTTGCAATTACTGGAAGACGCTATTGACCCTGCCTTGACTGATATTATTGAAAATGTTCCCGAGTATAATGAAGATCATTTAATTTTTCAACAGGACGGTGTTCCTCCGTATTATGTGTTAATTGTCCGTCAGTATCTGGACCAACGTTTTGAGTGGCCTCCACGATCACTTGATTTATCGCCCCTTGATTTCTTTTTGTGGGGATACCTAAAAAGTAAAATCTATAAAACACAGCCAGCGTCGTTGGAAGATTTGCGTCAAATCTTTATTCTTCTATGGAAGCGGGCGGTCATCAGTTTGAACATTTAATCAACTAAGTATTAAGTAAGCTACTAAACATAATTTAAATTTTAAAATGTAAATACATTTTTTTCAAAGTATTGGGCGGAATTATAAAATTTAAGGTCAGTTGTACAGAGAATTGTAGGAGCTTTCAAAAGAAATATTACCCAACCCCCAATGCCACTTAAATATTTTAGGGTGCTTGGGGGTAAAAGTGGCGGAGTCATAAATACCAGCAAAGAATGTCCCGCTTTAATATAAAATCAACAGGTCTGAGCGTTTTTCTACAATCTTGACGCAGTTCCTGAAAATAGCTCTGTTTCGTTTTCATTTGGCCACCCTGTATGTACTTTTGAGATCTATCTGGTTAAAAAATAATGTGTAAGGTCTTTCTATTTCTGAAAAAGTAGGTTTTCGTAGAAAATGCATATGTCGCCTAGACAATTAGACGATATCGCTCATAATGTTTAGACATTATTATGGTATCACATTTCTCGGATGTCCGAAAGATAATCTATATCTTTATCAGACTGTCCCGAGGAGTTGCAGTTGCGCATAGTATATGTTCCTGGGACTTATGATGGGATGAATATCTGGAGAATATCCCGCATCGTTACGAAAAAATTTGTTTGAATTTGCTTAATACTTTTTAACAACAAATATAGAGCCGCTAATACAAAATACAGTTTTTTATGTAAATGTTCAGTTTAATCGTTTAAGTTCCTCCTCAGGGATCTCCTATTAAGCTATGCTTTATTCCTAATGAAACACTCATGACTAATTATGTAATATTTGAAACCACAAGCACTCAATTAATTTCCCGTGTTACACGAAAGGGCCTTTAAAGTCATACTTACAAAAACTGCGGTGCCGATCCGGTCTGTTGCGACGGATACACCAGGATGCTAGAGGAAGTCTGTTCCTCGTCACTTCCTTTGCTGCGGTTTCTCTTCGCTACGAAGTAAGCGACGATCACGGTAAGGATCAGCAAACCGCACGCGGCTCCAGCAGCCAATGAATAGGGGTACAGCAAGCCTGGAAGTAATTATGTGTTGTAATACATATCCATTGCAAAGTGGCGTAACAAGAACAACGTTTTGAAGACTGTCGACCACATTTTCTACAAATCTGAATAAAGATATTAATTAGAAAGATATACCGATATACAAAGTAAAATTAGGTGTAAAGAATTTAACTGAAACTTTTTTCCAAATCAAAATAATTGACCAAATAAATCTTTGCTCCAAAGAGCCTCTTTACAAAGGTACAATGTATTAAAATTTATAAGATAGTATTTTCTTAATATTTCTAGAACGGCTTCACAGATTGTTTTGAAATTTGGTGTAGTAACTGTCAATGTCAATTACTACTTTTTTGTGAGGAACCATCAAAACACTGAAATTCAGTGGTGTGCAATCACCACTATGGTGAAATTTAATTAAAAAGAAAATGTTGCGCCACTGACTAATATTGGAAAATATTTGTTTTTTTTCTATTTAGCTAATTTTACTACAGAAAAGCATCTTCACATATTTTCAGTAATCCAGTAATAAATAATATGGATTTAGAAAAACAATTAATCAAATAATCTTTACTAAAATGATATCTTCAGGGTGGCGTTTATATGCGCATTTTTTTGTCGAGCATTTTGGAAAATCTAAGCAAGTTAGAAACAATATCTCTTCACTGTATCAGCTATATAAGATTTCTTCAGGGTATAAGACAACGGGCACTACATTCAAAATAAGAAAAAGAAAATATATTTTTATGTCGTATGTTTATCTCGAGTTTCCTGAATAATTTTGCACGTCTTTTGAATATACATCAAATCGCGTATGGTACTATAAACATAATCATACTCCGCAGAATGCTTTTAGGAAGCTATTAACATGTGCATTAATCTCAATTAAAGAGTATCTTTACAAGGAAAGGTACATTTTCTGATGTTTTCATGTTCACCGTGATCTTTCAATCCGAAAAATTAAAGTTGATCTAGTTTAGCGTTACGCTTCATCACTTCCTGGATGGATCTACTTGTTCTAGCATTGTATTACTAAAAGTGCGACTTCTCGTCTACAAAACTCTAGCCTTAAAACAATATAGACTGATAGAATCGTTTATATCAAATTACAGTCACTATAATTCGATAGTGTTCCACCGTTAATTACTTACAACCACTTTTGACAGAAATTATTAAAATGTCTAAATGTATTTTTAAAATGCAGAAGATAAAAATCGAATTCTTAAAATCAAGTAGCCACGCTATGATAGCCAAACAAAAGCACACTCTGTCAGTAACAATAATTTATTTTTAAATGTAGTAATAGTTTGAAAATTCATCTACTTGCTATTATTTTTTTCGAAATGGGTGATTTTACTACTAAGTAGCTGAGATCGTTTACGTGTATGGCTGGCAGTCGTAAGAGAATACCACCGCAAATTTCTTAATCGAAGAACACCAAATCACCAGGTGACACTAAAAAGAACAATCTGTTCGTGATTGGTTAATTCAACACTTTACTGGATGGTGAATTGATCGTAATGGTCCAGTTTCATGGCCAACTCAGTTGCCAGATTTCAATCCGTGCGACTTTTATTTATGAAATAGATGGTATCGAAAACAAAAACAAATAAAGAATACCGTCAGATTAACTGCTACAATCCGGAAATCCTGGTAAAGATGAAAGAAAACTCTATAAAACAATATCGATTTTAAAATTTTCTTACAAATATTTCAGAAAGCCGATAGTAGAATTCTGAACGAAAACAAGATTCTTTTTATATCGTTTAGGCCGTCGTAAACAAATTCCCTGGTGTGCATAATAGAAACGGACCATGCAAATGATTTCTGAAAGCCGTGTCTTATTTGTGTTCATTAATCTTTTTTTCTTCTCAACTTCCCAATTGGGAAATCCATTATATTCGTTTTTCATCTTGTCGGTTTATACCCAGAGCTTCTGTAATTTATATCAATTTTGCTCTTTTTATCTCCTCCTTTGGTAGTCAAGAGACTGATAAATTTATCTCCAAGGTATAAGTCATTCAAAAGTGAAGTTCAAACAAAACAAGTTTTCAGTAAATTATCGGAAGCTAATAAGGGTGTTCATTTCTATGACACTCAGCTGATTGACGAATTGACTGTAGACTGTTTTATAAAATAGATTAAGAAAATAAAATTAGTTACTATACTACAACTAGGTCTAATAAAATTAATCCAGTTTAAGCAAAATAGTGGTTGAAAATAAATTATGGTGAGTACTATTTGACATTTATTGTATCTATATCTTATTATGTTTATAACTTTTATGGAGAATTTCAGAAAAAGTGCCAAAAATTCAGAAGTTGATGGAACATAAAATAACAGCCACACACAAAAAAAAAATTGGGTATACTTTTTATGCGACATATATTTTTCGTAGTAATTTGGCCTCCTGAAAACGAATCTGGGGTCAGAATTGGCCCATCACGTCACATTTTTTTCCTAACCTCAAAAAACTTCTGAAAAATAGTGAAAATTGATGAAAATTTACTGGGAAAATTTGGAAAAAAATTTATTTCCACATCAAATAGTACATTTTTATGTAAAAGACTCTGCTGAATTCAAATCCACTGTCAGAATTGAGCTAGAACGTGTGGTTTTTTTTCTAACCTCAAAAAACCGAGCAGGAATCGCTATTTTCAAATTCTGAGCGGATTTTGACCAGATTTTGTATAAAGGGGTTTTTTGGGTCGCTGATTACGAATATGAATTCACATTGTAAAAATTCAAGATGGCTGATCCAATATGGCGGGTGTACTTTTTTGAAATCCACCGATTTCAGTAAAATTTGGCATCATAAGGATTGCTGGTTGATCTCACCTTCATTAATCACACATCTGGAGCCAGATTTTCATAAATCAAGGTAAAATTTGTAGGCAGAGTCATAATTTTAGGCCGAGTAGGCGGCATTTTTTCGGCAAAGTCACATTTTTAGATTGAAGGCATAAGCAGATGCAGTGATGTGCTGTGTGGCAGTAATGTGTCCTTTTCCTTGAACTTTAAAATTATTAAGAAATAAAAGCATCTAAATGCCATAGGAAAACTGCATAGTAGTTAAAAAAATCTGATTGGAAAACCATAAGCCCATGCACGACTAAATAAATGAAAGAATAAAGTAGAAACTTTTTTGTCTTGTCCCATGGAAACAAGCACATCACACTACACATCATTACATGTGTAGAGTCCTTAAGTCATTTTTTTAAGCGAAGTCACATTTTTAGACGGAGTGGAATCTTTTACCTTGATTTATGAAAATCTGGCTCCAGATGTGTGATTAATGAAGGTGAGATCAACCAGCAATCCTTATGATGCCAAATTTTACTGAAATCGGTGGATTTCAAAAAAGTACACCCGCCATATTGGATCAGCCATCTTGAATTTTTACAATGTGAATTCATATTCGTAATCAGCGACCCAAAAAACCCCTTTATACAAAATCTGGTCAAAATCCGCTCAGAATTTGAAAATAGCGATTCCTGCTCGGTTTTTTGAGGTTAGAAAAAAAACCACACGTTCTAGCTCAATTCTGACAGTGGATTTGAATTCAGCAGAGTCTTTTACATAAAAATGTACTATTTGATGTGGAAATAAATTTTTTTCCAAATTTTCCCAGTAAATTTTCATCAATTTTCACTATTTTTCACAAGTTTTTTGAGGTTATGAAAAAATTTTGACGTGATGGGCCAATACTGACCCCAGATTCGTGTTCAGGAGGCCAAATTACTACGAAAAATATATGTCGCATAAAAAGTATACCTAACTTTTTTTTTGTGTGTGGCTGTGAATTGATGATTTTCTCCTATGGATCATAGACTTATTGACTTTTTTAAAACAGTTGAGTTTAATAAAAAAATGAATGAGTAAAACAATAGAATTTACAATAGAAGCTGATTCGTGTTTTTCTTTGGTACACCCTATATACAGGGTGTCCCATCGACTTACTTATTTTGCAGTTGCCACCCCTTCGTAGATCGAGGTATCAACTTTGAACTTTCAAATGGCACTACAGGGAGTGTGATACATCGTTTGTACATACATCATAAAAAGAGGTTTCAAACGATGTATCACATTCCCTGTATACATCGTTTGAAAGCTCTATTTATACTGACTTTGAATCCGTAAAAAAAAATAAAAAAAATCGTTATGCGTTTTCAAGAAAAAACATTGAAAATAAATTTTTGGAATTTTATATTTTTACATGTAAAATTGTTTATAATAAATATTAGATGTTCAAATTGTGCACCCAGTTGTTCTTGGCAAATATGGAGTCTGTCTGCGAAACATCTCCTTACATTTGCAAAAACCTCTGGAGTTAAATTGCGACATTCGTTTACAATACGTTGTCTTAAATCTTTAAGATTTTCAGGTTGACTTGCAAAAACCACTCATTTGAGATGTCCCCAGAGTCGTTTGGACTCAAATCGGGAGACCGAGCTACCTATTCAATGTCCTGGAAAATTCTGATCCAAATAAACACGAACTCGTCGCTCAAAATGGGGAGGAGCTCCGTCTAGTTGGAACGTCACAAGATTTTCATACAGCTGATCATGATTCTCCAGAATTTCTGTGATCATGGGATCAATATGATCTTCCAACAAACGCAAATAGCTGGCTCCAGTCAAAGTGCTATCTAAAAAAAAAATTGTCCAACTACGTGATTACCCAATATTCCTGCCCAGAGGTTCAGCTTTTCTGGATTCTCAGTATACGATTCCCTAACACAATGAGGGTTTTCACCCGACCAATAACGAATATTATGCCTATTCACTGTACCATTGAGGAAAAACGTACACTCATCCCTGAAGCAGATACTGTAAAGTATGTTTTAATTTTCTGCAATTCTGCTAGACAAGACTACTCTTCGATCCGGATCATCCTCGTTCAAACAATGCAAAAGATGTATTTTGTACGGATGCCATTTAGTACGCTCTGACAATCGCACGGATTGGTGTGGATTCATTGTCAATTCGCCCAAAAATCCTACTTCCATTAATTTGTTAGGAGGTTTGGTTTTCTTAAGATTGGCTACACACAGTTTCTCGAAATTTTTTAACAATTTGGCTTACGTACGTAAGACTTGTTTGGTAATCAGGAACTGTTGTAACTCATTGAAAATTCGAGCAGCTTCTCTAGCACATTCATTTTGCTTTCCATAAAGAAAAATTATTTCAACTTTTTAAGCTAACGAATAAACCATAATAAAAAATAGATAAATGTAAAAGTTACACATTAATTGTAAGCCGAATATGAGATTTGATACAACTGAAAATGTTTTCAACAATAACACATTTCCGATAAAATGATATCAAACAAAAAGGTAAAATGAAATTGGATACAATGGAATTCGTAAAAAAATATGATAAGAACTTCAACCTTCTTTACGTTTCGTTTATTATTGTTTTTATCATCTGAAGCAGAGTCCTTTTTGCAGTTTAATAATTAATGTTTTGATGTGTGAAAATTTTTCAGTGTTAACTTGTTATA